GAGGTAAAGAAATCAGCAGAGCTTGGTGGGTGTGGAAACTGAGGTAAAGAAATCAGCAGAGCTTGGTGGTGTGTGGAAGCTGGAGGTAGAGAAATCAGCAGAGCTTTGTGTGTGGCACATAGTTAACACCCAGAATTGCATTCATCATAGTCTTACAGGATAAGGAAATTATGGGCTCAAGGACTTGTGTAGTGGACCTATTTGAAACTACCCCAAATCCTTGATTCCTTGATTCCCTTTTCTTCGTGTGATTTATGATCTAGATTTCTACCATTTTGTATTCTTCCTCGAAGATTGATCAATTTGAAATAGTACTGGGAGAGTTCACAATAACTCAGTATTCTCATCATTTCCTCTAACCTCTTCCCTCTGTCAAATTACATGTTTTATACAGCTCTCCTGAGTTAAAGGGTGAAATTGTCATTCTGTCCCCCAAAGCCGAAGTGTTGTCCCTCCCTCCCCTCTTCCCCCTACCCACCTCTCCGCAGGCCTCAGCTGCTTGTGCTGCTGAAACTGGACGAAGATTTACATGTCAAGCACCCTCGCCTCCTCACCTTTGCCTCACAGCTCAAGGCAGGAAAGGGGCTAACAATTGTGGGCTCTGTCATCGTGGGCAACTTCCTGGAGAACTATGGTGAGGCCTTAGCTGCTGAGCAGGTAAGAGCCCAGGCTTCTTGACTTAGTGGGAGAAAGTGATCAGACCACAGATATCTAATTAACCCCCTTCCTGAGTGATGTAGGAGCTTTCCCTTTTTAGTTAGTGCAGACTTTTGAATGGTCATATTCTCCCAAATAATTAAGGTGAGCCTGAAGATAGTAATTTATTCTTTGTTCCCACTTAAAGTATTGCCATGTTGCTAAAATATAAGATTATCAAGGCAAAGCACTATTTCCAAATATCGGCTCTGAACACTGAGAAAATGATACAAATAAATCTTCCCCAAACTTTGGAGAGGGTTCCTCTTGATTCTGTGACAACAAGGACAATGAGCAACTTTTCTTGCTTTTTAATAATCTAGGTGGTATTCTAAACACGTTTCTTTGCTATTTCTGATTAGCTCTACTGAATATTAAGGAGCCCTTGTGGCACAGTAGTTAAGCACTCAGCTGCTAACCGAAAGGCCTGTGGTTCAAACCTATCAGCCGCTCTGCAGGAGAAAGATGTGGCAGTCCGCTTTCCATAAAGATTACAGCCTTGGAAGCCCTATGGGGCAGTTCTATTCTGTCCTGTAGGGTCGCTGTGAGTTGGAATCGACTCGATGGCAATGGGTTATACTGAATATTAAAGTCCTACCTGAATAAGGAAGTTGTTTTTGTTCTAATACTTATTATAAATGATAGAATTAACCCTGTTGTTTGAAGAAAATTTCAATTGCACTTCAAAAATTTTGTGGATGTCACTTTAGAATGCTTTGAAACTAGATGTGCTGAAGAAACATTAGCCTCGGTATGTTCCAGAGGAAGGAAAACAGAATAGACAAAAAGGCAGAGAAACTAAATGTGGACAGCCAGTTTATAGATCTCCAAATAGGTATTTACATTTAAAAAGTGAAAAAAACAAAGGGTAGTGGCTTTCACTGCGATAACTAACTTTTTGAGCTTTTCTGTAGAAGATGTGGTCTTACGCAGAGTTTGGAAAGAGGGAAATATGTATGGAAAAGAAGTTAGTTCAAAGGTTCAGGGTGAAGCAATTCCACGTTGAGATTCTGTGTCTCTTTCAGACCATAAAGCACCTGATGGAGGCAGAGAAGGTGAAAGGATTCTGCCAGCTGGTGGTGGCAGCCAAACTGAAGGAGGGCATTTCCCACCTCATCCAGTCCTGTGGCCTCGGGGGCATGAAGCACAACACAGTGGTGATGGGCTGGCCTAATGGCTGGCGCCAGAGTGAAGATGCTCGAGCATGGAAGACGTTTATTGGTAGAGAACTCTTCTTCTTACTCTCTGAGGACCCAAAGAAGGGAGATAGTTCAATCCCCATCACCCTAATCCCACCCCCAGCCTCCTAAAGCAGAGACTCTGCTATTGTTGAAGCACAGTCTCATCAGGGCACCTAAGTAACCAGTGAGTGCTTGGGTGGCACAGACGGTTGACGTGTTTGGCTGCTGACGTAAAGGTCGATGGTTCGAGTCTACCCAGAGGCACCTCGGAAGAAAGGCCTGGTGATCTGAAAAATCAGCCACTGAAAACCCTACGGAGCCCAGTTCTGCTCCAGCACACGTGGGGTCGCCATGAGTAGGAATCAACAGCGGCTGGTTTGGTTTTGGATCTTTTAGTGTAACTGTTAGTAATAATAACCTGATTCCACCACCCCCACCAGCTGTGCTTTATGTTCATGAAATTGTTTATTTCTGGCAAGTCTCATGCTAGAACTTATCTCCTCAATTGCCATGTTTTCATTCAATATTTCCCATGTTAACATTTTCACAGGAAATGGAAAAATTGTCCTTCAGCATCAAAATCTCCCGAGTTCACATATCCTCCTTAAGGGCCCTTAGAAATGGAACATAAACCAGGATTCTCAGTCTAAGTCTCTTAGCTACTCAGGTTTTTCTCAGTAATTTTTGTTAGGTAATGAGGCATAACCTAGTCTTTGAATAGGACTCCTTGCCCAGAGGAAAGTACAAGAGAGTCGTCCTTGTTTTCCTGACATGGTGGAAACTGTCAGAGGCAAGGCAAAGCCTAAGGATTCTCTCTGCTCATCCCGATTCCCTTTTTTCCCCTCCCAGGCACAGTTCGAGTGACAACTGCTGCCCATCTCGCCCTCCTGGTGGCCAAGAATGTCTCCTTCTTTCCCAGCAACGTGGAGCAGTTTTCCGAGGGCAACATCGACGTGTGGTGGATCGTGCATGATGGGGGGATGCTCATGCTCTTACCCTTCCTCCTCAGACAGCACAAGGTCTTGTTACACAGCGTCTCTCCTGGTTCATGAGACACACCGGGAGAGTCAGCACTTATTCTTGGCTGTCTGTGGTCCCAGGTCAACCTTAGGAGAAGTAGTTTTCTTTGTATTTCATACCTACCTATCTCCAAGTGAAAGTCAGGAAGCTACTAGAGTTCCACATGAGCCATTGAGAAAAACACCAACTAGTGTATACATCCTTAAAAAAAAAGACCAAGAGTCTCTCACACATTGGAAACCTAAGGGTGTGTGCAATTATGTGCACGTGCATCACACCGATGTACAATGTGTGTGCGTATCACACATATATGCTCATCCTTGGGTAAGACTAATTTAAACCGAAACAGTAAATACTGTAATCTGCATGGTGTCTGGATAAAGCACCCTCTTAAAGCATCACAAGGAGCCTTGGTGGTGCAGTGGTTAAGGGCTTGGCTGCTAACTGAGAGAGGTCAGCCGTTTGAACCCGCCAGCCCCTCTATGGGGAAGTTCTACTCTCCCACAGGGTCACTATGAGCCAGAATTGACTCGATGGCAATGGGTTTAATGTATCGCTTGCCATATTTTCCTTTTATCCAGTTTTTTCTTGCTATGAAATTAAGGCATTCCTTCAAGCTGTATTTAATGTGGTTGCTTACTCAGGCTTTTGCCCCAGTGCCCTGCTGGAACAAGGAGGACGCCAGGAGTAAGCTCCCTAGTACTGCAGCACCATTATTCTAAGCAAGATGCTCCTGTTTTAGGAAGTTGCTTTTTTCTGCCTTCTGGTTTCTAATTTTCCGTGGATGGATGGCGCTCCCTTAGGTGTGGCGGAAGTGCAGCATACGGATCTTCACGGTAGCCCAACTAGAAGACAACAGTATCCAGATGAAGAAGGACCTGGCCACCTTCCTGTACCACCTGCGCATCGAGGCAGAGGTGGAAGTGGTGGAGATGGTGAGACACCTGAGCTTGAGGTCCAAGAGAACACCGTTCCCCCACCCCGTCCTGCACTCCCAGCACCTGTTCTGGTTTGGGGAGTTGTTCGGCTGCAAACATAGATTAGTCCCCTAGTTCCAACAAAACCCTAATGTATTGACCTAGATGAGTAGACTGTGTACGTGATGTATGTTTGGTTTTGTGTGTGTGTGTTTTGCTTTTTTTTTTTTGTTTTTACATAGTCCTTCTATTTCTTCCAGATTCTTGTCTGCTTAATATAGTTTTGTTGATTTTTTAATTCATATATTTATGCTTTAAATCACACATGGCTTTTTTTTTTTTTTTTTAACAACCTGGCAGTATTAAAAACACAATATAAACAGACGAGAGTTTGTGTCACAAGGAAACGTGTAATGGCTGGATTATGGAAGACTCTCAGGGCTTGTGGATGTTCTCCACAGTTCACACTGACATGTTTATGTAGCTCAGTGACTGAATAAAAATGGGGGTGAAACTTGCTTGATGTTGTGATACTTTCCCTAGTTCAGTTTCATGAGTTGACATGAAAGTGGACGGTCCCTCCTCCTCCTTTGTGCTCACTGCCCACTGTGCGGTGTTTGTGGCAGCACGACAGTGACATATCGGCTTACACTTACGAGCGCACGCTGATGATGGAGCAGAGGTCCCAGATGCTCCGGCAGATGCGACTGTCCAAGACAGAGCGGGACAGAGAGGTGAGGTCTGGCTGCGCTCCTCTGCTCCTGGCCCTGGGAGGTCTGTTAGGGGAGGGGATACTGCTGTGCTGTTCTCACGGGATGACAGATGCTTTCCTTCTCACTTCATCACCTATTTCACGATACCCCCACTGGTGTTTCAAAAAACTGAAGCTGAAGCGTGAGAGGATTTTACGCAGAATGATAACTGTATTGGGCCTTCCCCAGGCACAGTTGGTGAAAGACCGGAACTCCATGCTGCGGTTGACCAGCATTGGGTCAGATGAGGATGAAGAGACAGAGACCTATCAGGAGAAGGTGCACATGACTTGGACAAAAGACAAGTACATGGCATCCCGGGGGCAAAGAGCCAAGTCAATGGAAGGATTCCAGGACCTGCTCAACATACGCCCGTAAGTTTCTCCACCCACAAGCTTATCACATGATGCGGCATGCGGTTTGATGGCACAGCTGTGACTTTGCTGGGATGTAGAGGATGGAGTCTGTTCTTTATTTTACCCCAAATCCAGCCACCTCTCTATTGTTTTCCCGTGCGTATTAACTCCTAACTTAAACAGCCTTGCGTGTGGGCGCCCTTGTGACCTGACCCTGCGTGAACTTGATTTCCAGCTGGTATACTCTCACGCACAGGAGCTGGTATCAGCTTTATTTACTGCCCTGCCAGTTCCCTTCCACTGTGGTGCTCGCTTTTCCTTGTGTCCCGTCTGCTTGGCATCTGTGGGTCTTTGCTTTGGACAACTAAATAAACTGGTGCCCCTGTTTTGTTGATGCCCTAAGCGCATGCTGACCTTGCTTCTTGGGTGATCTGTCCCTGGTAAAAAGTGTTGGTGTTTGAGTAGATCAGCAGAGCAAGACACGGGAACAAGAGATTTGCTGGGGCAGAAGTAGTTGAAGTGATGCTTCGGGGCTCTGGACTGAGCAGAAGAACATGAAACTAGATGGGAAGATTCAAAGAAACCAGAGTGGAAAAATGGATAGAGTTAGAATTAGAGACTGGGATATCAGAGGTCAAGACTGTCAGAGGTGGAAGAGGTGATGCCACAGTTTGCGGTGAGATCACTGGTGGTTGTGTTTTAGGACACTGATTTAAGGCAACGGAATTGAGTCCATCAGTTTTCCAGTCTGGAAGGTGTGGTCAACAGAAGAACGCAGTCCCCTAGCGCCACTTTTTGTTTGTTAGCTACTGTCAGCCCCTGGCTCACAGCGACCCCGTGTGTTAGACAGTAGACTTTCTATAGGGTTTTCTTGGCTGTCATCTTTACAGAAGCAGATTGCGAGGCCTTTCTTCTGCAGAGCCGCTGGTGGGTTCAAACCACCAACCTTCCGATGAGCAGCCGATCATGAACTACTTGCACCGCCCCGGCTCGCGATGCCACTACACGTGTGTAGTGTGTCTGAACTGCATTACTTAGCCATTGCTGTCTCATTCCACCTCCACAACCACCCTGAGATAATGACTGGTGTTTTTCCTGTTTGGCTGTCTAATGGTCCTGAAGCTTAGATTTCGTGTGTGCAAAAGAGAGTACATAAATTATTATCCAGTATGTTTGCTGTGAAAATTAAGTGAAATGTTGCAGTATTGCTGAAACTATAGTTCAGGATAAGTGACATGCCCTTAGGGTTACTCGGCCAGCACGTGACAGAGCTGAAGTAGAAATCCACATCTCCAGACAACCCAGTGAGGCCTCTTTCCGTTCTGTTCAACGGCTTCGTTTTTCCTTCTGCTTTACTTCCTCCTTAGCGATAGAAAGCGCTCAGGGTCATGTTTTTGGTGCCATAAAGATTTTAGAAGAGGGATCCTTTGGTCCTGGCCCATCAGGTAGACCATCTGTCCATCCTTGCGTCCACCAATACTCTCAGAGGGAAAGACCAAAAGAAAACTGAGGAAAAGCGGAAAGACAAGGTCATCAGACAGCTGCTGCTTAAAATAACTCTGCGTCCCTCTAGGGATCTCAGAGGCTGGGAGGTCGAGTTTTCTGTTTTGGTCCCATCTATTCATGCTGAAAAGCCTACTTAGATTGAATGTTGAAACCCTTAACTCAGCACCTTATTTCCCTTCCCTCTGTACCTATTAGAATTTTGTTTTCTGGAACAGGTTCTTATTTTAAGTCTTCATTTAATAAAATAACCTCAGATTCACCTGTTCCTGATTTCATGGGGTCAAGTAGTGTAAATAAGGATAATTTTAAAGTTAATCTTCAAGATGCTTTTAAGAAATCAGCTCGAAAAAAAAATCACTATTCTGTACGTTACATTATCTGTAGTCAATCAGAAAAGCTCTGGGTCTCAAGTTTTCCAAATTGACTGTATGGCTGTTTTTCTCTTTGCCTTAACCGCCTCTATTTTCCCCCCAGGGACCAATCCAATGTGAGGCGGATGCATACAGCAGTCAAGCTCAATGAGGTTATAGTTAACAAGTCCCACGAAGCAAAGCTGGTTTTGTTGAATATGCCAGGGCCACCACGAAACCCGGAAGGTGATGAAAACTGTATCCTTTCTGAGAGTGGAGTTGCCAGTAGGGAGAGTTTTCTCAGCCTGGTTAGCCTGTTGTGTAGATGAGACAACGAGGTGACTATAAACGTCATCGGCTCTTCCCTGGTTTCCCTCCATCTGAGGAGGGGAGACTGATAAAGTCTTAACAAGGCTTCTTGGCACCTAGTGAAATTAATCTCCTGGGGAGTTGGGGGTGTGATATGTTTTCTCTGAACCCTAAAGAGACTTTTCAGGTGATGTATTTGCAACGTGACTTCTAACATTCAGTGTACAGCACCCTTTCTGACAATCCTAGAGACAGGTGACCCACAGCCTTTCTCCCTACCAGGCTCCACCCACTTTGCAAAGCCTCTTCCTTGGGTATAGACTTAGGGGAGAAGCAGTACAATTGTAGTGGGGTTTCTTCAAGTGAGGGAAAGGACTACAGATTCTTTCACATACCTTCATCCCAGGACTGTTTTTATGGGAACCCTGAGCACTGAAACTAAACTGAAGGAAAAAAAAAAAAACCTGGCAGAAAAATCTGGGCTGAATAGCTTCACTTAGAAATTATTTGGGTTCTCTAAGAATTTTACAAGCTGCTCTATTGAGGCTTTTTCTTTTTTTGGTATTGTTTTTGTCTTATTTTGCTATTTAGAATAACACATTACTTGGGGGTTTCCCCATTTTTAAAAAAACATTTAGAAAATATCAACAGATGGGAGTCTTGTGTTATATATGCAAAGGGACTGGATCCCTGGATTATTTCACAGGGCTACACTGAATCCAAAGTTCAGACTCTTCCATTTCCGAGCATATGATAATCAAGACAAGTGTGTCGATTTTGCACCTCTGTGATCAGGTAAATTCAGATTATCACAGTACCAGGTGGTAAAGTCTACTCTTCCTCTGCCTCTGTCTCCTTGACAAGTCCTGAAGACATGGAGTTCCTAGAAGTGCTCACCGAGGGACTTGAGCGTGTCCTCCTTGTCCGGGGTGGTGGCAGTGAAGTGATTACCATTTATTCATAACCTGCCTCTGAGTGACGCTGCTTGGCCGTGCCTTTCCAAAAAGGCTTCCATCCTCCTCGGGAGCGCCAGCCCTTCTCTGCCACGCCAACCAGCTAGAGGCCTGTGTTCTGTACACATCACACTGAGCTCTTGACAAGCTGAGCCTCGAGTCCTTGTTCACAAGGGTACAAATAGATCAGCTCTTTGTTCCCACATGATGCTCTTTATGGAAGCAGCAAATATTCCCTCAACATCAGAGTGGCGGTCAAGTCCTAAGGCAAAAGGCAAGTTGGAATTAGCAAGCTAAACCAATAAAGTGAACTGGCAAAAGGGATGCTAGAAATTCACCACGACAAACAGCAAGCACATATCCCACATGAAAGACGAGCCTCAGAAGTCCTGGTTCAACGGTGACCCCATGGGGTAGCAGTCAGAGACACAGCCTCATCACAGTAAAGAATTCATGGCCCAATATGTGGACACTTAATATCCTTGCGAAGATGACCCATGGCCAGTCAAGATGGACATCTTTATTAGCTAATTTTCTTTGGTGTACCCATTGCTCCCTAGGATTCTAATTCTGTATTAGGGTACTGATGTACAAGAACTGAAACATGGCGGCAGCCACTACTTCCTCCTCCAACCAGATGTTAAGTACATATACTGTGTTGGTACGTACTTCAGTTGTCTGTTTCTCCAACTCAAAACCCATTCTGTAGTTAAGACTGTAACACAGGCAGCATTGCAATGGAAATTGCTTGTTAAAAGGTAGGTTAAGAATCATTTCTTTCAGGTTCTTCTCAAATGGTTGAACTAAGGGAACTCCAAAAAGTAGCTATTACGATTTACTGAAATACAGCCTGTGGTTATGTATATGACATAGGCAGAACATCCGAGCTATTATGTAAGAAATGCAGGTCATGACGAACCCTGATCTACTGGTTTTCCTTTCCTTCTATTATGCCCTCTGGGATAGTAAGCGTAGGTCAGAAAAATCACAGGAACAAACACAAGACTGGCTAACATCTTTCTCTAACAGCTTTGAACTGTCTTTTTAGAGGGGAGTCCAGCAGTGAATTAGTTCTAGAGCCATACTCTTTCCACAGTGCCAAAGTTAGTGAGCTGCTACTCTTCTTACCTGTGTTGCTGAAGTGAAGTGTGAACTGGCAACTGGGATTGGCCTAATTCAAGAAACTTCTTTCACCAAACCCGTGTGTGGTCTCATCTCCAAAGCCACAGTCAAGAGTTGGGGTACTCACCTAAATGCCTGCTTTCAATTTTATTCTTCATTCTGACTCATCCCCACACCCATCCCCACCCATTTAACAATCATAAGATTCCTGGCTTTTAAGCATAGGGAGACTACCCTGTGTGGCTGAGCAGTAATTTAATATGTACTGAAATCTTCCTTTCTCTTAGAGGACAGGTGTTTAGAGAAACTACCTTCTTGCTGTATTCATGGCTGCTTTTGAATTTTGCTTTATTAATGTTACTGCCACTCTTCCTTGATTTCTCAATGGGATACAGAGCAGGTTACCTAGGTGCCAGCAGACTGTTCATTTGACCCTTAGGGACACAGAGGAAAAGCCTTCAGTATGGATTTCCTTAAGAAAGTGAGTCACTGTGATGTTTCCTTTGCTCTTCTTTCAACCTCCAGGCCCGCTGAGGGTAGCAAAGCAGGCAGGATCTTGTTTTTTTCCTTTCTGTTCCTTCCTGCAGAGGGTAGAGGCACTGTTGACAACTCTTAGTGCAGTGCTGTGTTGGTGAGTACCGCAGTAGTGGGACAGGTCCCCTAGGATCCAGGATCTGGAAGGTCGGTCTGCGCAGGAATTCCCCTTCATTTACACACACCCCTGGCCAAAGTGATACATATACCACCACCACCACCCCCCGCCCCATACAGGACAAAAATTGTCAAAAAGGTTAGTTTTAAAAGAGCTCTTTGTGGGTGGAGCTCTAAGCAGCTTTTGAAGGCAATCAGTGGCTATTAACGTAGGCACGATTCTACTTCAGTCCCTAAAACACACAATCACTGTTACATGAAGAATGGTTATCAGACCAGGCTTATACTTATCTCTGTCTAGAGCATTTCAGCTCTGTGTGTTGCTTACGCTGTCTGTCTGCAAAGTGTCTTGTCTTTCTTAATCACTGCAAATAAAGCAATACCGAAAACTTGATAAGAAAATGCACCTTAGGGGAAGGGGCTTTGTGTTTCAAGAGGAAGAGGAAGACCTCTTCCTGCCGTTTGAGTAAGATCAGCTGGCTTTTCAGTCTCAGCTCTAACTTTACCAGGGCAGGTTATACCTTTAAATGCCTCAGATTCCTGTGGCCCCAAGGATCCCAAATCCTCATTCCCCCTACACGTGTTAAAAATCCATTATTGTGGGTATGAAAACCAGTGGTCACATGGCAGGCCTCTTTACGTGCCCGTCTGGTCTGGTCGGTCCTCTCATCATGTGTAGTCTGAAATCCAGTTAGTTTCTCACATCGTCCGCAAGTGTCTCCAACAGAATTTTTATGTCCCATCTTGTGTTTGTTAGAAGTGAAATATTAAGGAAACTAGATTTAAGGGAAACATGTGCAACTTTTGTTCATAAACCGTTTAATTTATTGAGAGGAGATACTGCTGTGGTTCTTTCGTTTACAGAGTTACAGTTTTATTTGTTGTTTTGCTCTGTACTGGAAACATCAATAAAGTTTTCTACATTATTTTCAGTTGGGGTAGTGGTACAGTTTGTGTCTGTAGTAACAGGGATCCGTCCCTCTAGGGTGTCTCCTCACCACAGAGAAGAGGGCGCTTCCTGGCTCTTTGCAGCCCGAGTGACGGTGTTGAAGGTGAGTAGTCTGAGGAGGGAACACTGGCCCTAAGGAAGTATGGAAACGAGATCCAAATCCCTAAGGGGCCAGGTGCGTCTTTCTCGGGTTCACAGAAGCAATCCCCCACCACTGAACTCCATTCTCTGAAACAAGAAAAAGTCAACAGGTGAGTGGTGTGGGAATGCAGAAATAACCTGCTGAGTCAGTCATTTAATGCTTTCATCACAAGCTCTGCTTTGCCTCATCCTCAAAACATGACAACTCTCAAAGTCCTGATGGCTCTTCTTTCTGAAGACCTGATCTCTGACACCAACTCCAGTTCCCCACCATCAAATGGGTGAGCTGCTCACCGTGTACTACAACCGACCAGAACGTAACTTTTCTTTTGCCTTACCTCAGGGGGCTCGATGAAGGCTAACCAGTCTGAGGCATGTGTAGGCAAGAGCCCCATGGACTGGCACTTGTAGACAGCCAGTGCCAAACCCAGGAGGTTTCCAATGAGATAAACCAGACCCTGCAGAAACTTCTGGCTTGAACTTTCTAACATCTTGAAAGCTGTTGAGATAACAGAAGGTGTCAAAAACCAAAGCAACTTTGTCCCCCCAATATGAATCAAGCCAACCATGTATGGAAACAACACAGACTCAGAGTCAGATGGCAGCTGGGACGATTAAGGCAAACAGAACGACGGTAAAAGCTCCTCTAACCTCCAGGCCACAGCCACTGCCACCACGCTGCACCCCCTCCCCCTGCAACCAACGAAGAGCTGTGCCACGGACTGCTGGTATGGATCCTGCCTAAGAATTGGCCTTTAATTGTTAAAACTTAGGGAAGGGTTGTTACCTGAAGAATACTTACTGGCTGAAATGGCCATTAGTGCCTGGATAGGTCGCCAGGCCATCATGCACACCATCATGGTAGGAAAGATGGAGATAGTGTTGCCAGCCATGTACATGATGAAGAGGTTCATGGGAATCTGTTTGAGGGGCCCCAAGGCGATGTCCCAGCAGCGCTACAACAGATAGCGGTAACCTCCAGTTACCCACATGTACTGAACACTGATGTTAAACTCAAAACCAGGTTTCCCGATCCCCTGCTGCTGACGGAGCTGCCTCCTCGTTCCACCACCTTCCCCTCTGTGCGGCTGCAGGAAGCTCTCCTCCTACAGAGCAGACACCTCATCATCTGTTACATTTTTCCTTGTAGGTTTCCCAGATGTCGTTCCCCCCTGATTTTGGCTAAAGAAAAGATTTCCCTGGTTTTGTCCTTGTACTTTTGCATCTACAATTGAAAAAACAGACAAATCCACAATCATAGATTAACACACCAAAATTAAAAGAACAAGCAGACAGTATTTGAATGGTATTATAAACAAGCTTAACCCAACTGACACACTTAGAACACTGCACCCAACAACTACAGAATTCACATGGAACATTTATAAAAACTGGCCACTTGCTGAGCTGTGGACAAAGTGTCAATAAACCTCAAAGAACTAAAATTGTACAAAACATGTCCTTTGATCACAATGCAATTAAGCTAGAAATAAAAAAGTAGAAAATCTCCTATATTTGAGAATTAACAAATGTACTCTAAATAATCCATGGATCAAAGAAAAAATTACATTGGAAAATAAAATGATAAAAAATACATATTAAAACTTGGATACAGAGCTGGTTTGAGAAATTGATAATCTTAAATACATATTAAACCCATGGCTGTTCAGTTGATCCATCTCAAGAAGTTAGAAAAAGAACAAATTTAACGCAAGGAAATAGAGCAGAAATTAATGAAAAAAATCAACAAATCTATACTGGTGACCCTGATAAAAAAAAAAAGGAGAAAAGACATAAACATTCAACACCAGGAACGGAAAAAGGGACATCTCTAGAGACTGCAGATACTAAAGTGATCATAGTATGAACAACTTCACGTCAATACAAATGAAAATATAAGAAACGGATAAATCCCTAGAAAATACAACTTAGCAAAACTACACAACAAGTTGGAAATATAAACAGTGCTGTAACTGTTACACAAACTCTTCCAGAGAATTAAAAAGAAACATTCTACAACTCATTTTATGGAGCCTCATAAATACCAAAAAGGACTTTATGGGATTAAAGTTGCAGGCCAATCTAATGCATGAACCTAAATGCAGAAATCCTAAACAAAGCATGAGCAAACTAAATCTAGCTACATGAAAAGAGCTGTGTACCACTACCCATTTGGGATTATTCACATTAAAATAATAATAAAATGATACTTACAAATGCTCCCCTAATTTGTCATTTACAAAGATCTTTTTATCTGGGAGTTTAAACATCAAATCATTCAAACAAGAGAACTGCTCAAAAAGACATACTTTTTGATAATTTATCATTAAAATCCGGTCATTTTAATAACATCTGTTATACAGTCATACTACAGTTTAATATACCAAGATGCAAAATGATGACCCTACTCAAGAGAATAACTGAAAATGACTGTCACTTTCATGTTGTGAAAATCACACGCACCCGTGAAACAAAGATCATTCATGCCCGTCAGATGAACGGATAAATTATGGTACATACACACAATGAATACTTCACAATATGAACGATGAATCCGCGAAACATCTCACAACGTGGATGAATTTGGACCAAATTACGTTGAGTGAAATAAGTCAATCACAAAAGGACAAATATTGTATGAGACCACTTTATAAAAGTCCGAGAAAAGGTTTACACATAGAAAAAAAGAATCTTTGATAGTTAAGCGGGAGGGGAGTGGTGGGGAGGAAAAATCAGTAACTAGATAGTAAACAAGTGTTAACTTTGGTGAAGGGAAAGACAACACACAATATAGAGGAAGTCAGCACAACTTAAGCAAGGCAAAGTCATAGAAGCTTCCTAGACACATCTGTCATCTACCATGCAGTTACACAGAACGTAATAAAGACGTGACATGAAAGTCACAGGAGGGTAACGATCTGACTCACGGCTGCTGTGCTGGAAACAGACTACAGGGGGACAAGGTGGAAGTGGCGAGACCAGGTAGAAGCCTATTACAGAAAGGGACACAAGGAACCCTTGGAGAATGAAAAGATGCAATCCAAGGCGGTGGTGGTTTCATGGGGGTACGCCACTGTCAAAGTTCATTACATTGTACCTTTTAAATCAGCAGTTCTCAACCGAGGGCAGTTTTTCCCCCAGGAGACATCTGGAGATGTTGGAAACACTTTTGGTTATCCCAACTGAGTGGGGGCACCAGTGGCATCTAACAGGTAGAAGCCAGGGATGCTGTTAAATATCATAAAATGCACAGTACAGCCCCCATTAAAGAAATAATTCAGTCCAAAATGTCAATAGTGCTGAGGTTAAGAAACCATGCTTTAAATGACTACCTGAAAAAAAAACCCGTTGCCATCGAGTCGATTCCGACTCATAGTGACCCTATAGGACGGAGTGGAACTGCCCCATAGAGTTTCCAAGCAGCGGCTGGTGGATTTGAATTGCCGACCTTTTGGTTAGCGGCAGTAGCTCTTAACCGCTAGGCCGCCAGGGTTTCCTTAAATAACTACAGTTTATTTTTTTTTAATGACATTTTATCAATTTAAAGAAAAAGTTCTGCAGAAATCTGGTTGAGGGATGAAGGTGGCTTGAACTAGGATGACAGGTGAAGGTGGGAAGTGGTAGGCTTTTCGGCCTATTTTGAAAGTAAAGCTAACAGAATGTCCTGTCAGACTGGATGTGTGGTGTAAGTTAAACAATAAACAAGATGACTTCTAACTGGAAGGACTGCCACCAACATAATTTTCAACCCACTTTCTTATACTTCATGTTTCCAAGCGTCTTTTATTTTTCCAACATGAAGCACTTTTAAACTACAGTAACACTAATCTGAAGCAGTGCACTTTCCAAATACTCAGAATAAGGGCCATCTGCAGTAAGGCTGCCTGGGAGACGTCGTGTGTAGGTCATGACTAGCCCAAGAACCGCTGTGACATCTCTACCTCTGTACCTTCTCCACCAGGATCCGGTCTGTCTCTTGCACGCTGGTATCAGGCACTTGCTTGTCCAAGTACCCGACTGGGTACAGGGAGTCTCCCTGGCCACTGCCCCGGTCACTTCGGCCCCTAAGAAACCAAACCAAGAAACTAAGACTGAAGCCTCCCACACTTCATCTCCCACAATTCCTGTTCTACCAATCACAACGGATACAAATCCTCAGGTGCACCCACCCAAATGAGACCAAGCCCTCCAGTGAGCTCATCAGTCCTCTGCCTACTGGGAGAGCTGAAATAAATATCCTCTGGGCATAGAAACGCGCAGCAGAAAAGCCGCTACCTCCCCAGGTGACGTCTGCGTCCCACCCATCCTTTTCAGACAGCATCACCTGAGGGCTCATTCCTCTAGGTGATGACGCTGAAGTCGGACTTCCCAGACTCCTCACCTGCCGCCTCCTCCGGGCCCGCTCAGCTCAATGGCCCACTTGAAACGCCGGCCTCTGTTGGCCACCAGCCCCCCTTGGGCCGTCATGGCAATCGCCGCCTTCGAAAGCCGCCAGGCACAGGGAGTCGGGGACCGTAGAACCCACCAGCGTCCCCTACTTCTACGTCTCACTCTGCAAGTACACTTCCGGCGCGTAGACATACACGTCACTTCCGGTCCGGAAATTGCCAGTGTTGCGGGCCCAGGTGAGCGAACCTGGAGCTTGAGAAACGAAGCGAAAAGACACCCTGACAATTTTTAGGGTTTCCAAAAGTGACTCGTGCGCGCCACCCCCTCTCTGAAGGGGTCTGATGTGTGTTCTCTGACCTTTGAGGTGCTGCTTTACGGGGCGGAAGTAAAGGCCGTACCGAGCCTGCGTTAGGAATTGAAGCTTGATCACTTACCTGCTCCCGGGAAGTTGGAATCTTCTGTTTGAATCCTGGCTTCACCGCTGATTATGTAACCTTGAGCCAGTTATTAGTCTTGTGTCTTAGGTTCCGAGTATTGAATTTATGTTTATTTCATTTAATTCTCACAGTAACCCCGCGAAGTAGAACTGCCCCCATCCTGCGTAAACGCAAGCAGCAGCGTGGGCTCGCAATTCGGATGGCCTGCTTCTAAATCCTGGCTTCACTCTTTACCAATTGTGTGACCTTGAACGTGTTGTTTAGGAGTTTGTGTTTCAACTTCCGTATGTAAAAGGATAATCTGCCTACCTTCAGAGGCGTGGAGGGTTAAGTGGAGGAGTACCTGGCACATAGACAGGATGTCTTTTTTTTTTTTTAATGTCATCAAATCTACATTATTCATAATGGTTGGGTCTTGTATTCAGTGGTATACCTATATCACGATTTAATCTGTTGAACATTTTAGTTGTTTTCTGGTGTTTTGGGTTTTTTTCCCCGTTTGACCATTGTTGTAATCATCCCTTTGTTGTTACTGTTAGTTGCTGTCCACTCATTTCCAGCTCTTGGCGCCCTGTATGTGCTCTGTAGAACTGCTCCACAGGATTTTCAAGACTGTAGCCTCTCAAAAGCAGATCGCCAGGCTTTTCTTCCAAGGTGCCGCTGGGTGGGTTTGAACCACCAGTCTTTCGGTTAGCCGCTGAACACTTACTACTTAAGTAAGTCTTATTTCCTTTTAAGTTAAATTTGTAGAAGTGGAATTGGCAGATCAAAGAGGATGCACATTTTTCTCTTAAATTGTACTTCAGGTGAAGGCTTACAGAGTAAATAGTTTCTCATGAAACAGTAGTACGCATATTGTTTTTATGATATTGGTTAACAACCCTACACAACATGTCAACCCTCTAACTTCTCAACCTTTTTTATTTTTTTTTTTAATTGTACTTGAGGTGAAGGCTTAGAGAACAAATAGTTTCTCATGAAACAGTAGTACACATGTTGTTTTATGACATTAGTTAACCACCCCACAACATATCAACGCTTTAACTTCTCAACCATCTTTTTGGTGAAAATACACATAGCCAAAGATACATCATTTCAAAAATTTCTACATACACAGTTCAGTGACATCAACTACACTCTTCCAGTTGTGCTGTTATTCTCACTTAAGATGAAGGTGTACAGAACAAAATAGTTTCTCATTTCACAGTTACTACAAATGTTGCCCTATGACAATGGTTAACAATCTCACAA